ATTTGTTGTTGATCGCCATTAAATTTTATATAACATATTTCAAATGTTTCTTGATTATCAATAGATAATGGTAAAAAACTAATGAGTTCTTGTGTTATTTCGATTGATTGACAATTTTGACATGTGAGGTATCATTCAAATATTATGTCATCATTCTTCTAGCTGTTTGAGCTCGTAGAACTTCCTAAAACATCGAGAGAAATTGTTCGGGTAGTTCGCCACTTCCCATTGTCTAGGGACAAAGGACCCTTTCCTGCCTGGAAGATCATGGTAGAAAGACGGTTTTGTTCATAACCTTAAAACACTAGTAGTTATTAATGTTGACCTGTTTTACTCTTTTCTTTTTCTACATTACTGTCTATATCGTCCTATTGGTTGAAAAAGTTCTCTCCAAAAGAGAATTCTATGCTTAATTATTTAACTGCATTTTAAGATCTGATATTAATACTATAAAGTATATTAGGCTCATTATAATAAGCTTAAGGCAAACGAAACGCTCGTTTTCGAGATTGTAGATGGGCAGAGATGGCAGCCATGGGAACAGACATACTGAATGGTGCTGATACTGTAATAAACAAAAGAAAACAACGCTTTTTCTAACACGCCAAGCAAATTCTTCTAAGAATCATCTGAATAAACAAGCCTGATTGATTTCCAACCTGCTTACTTCATTTTCTTGCATTTTTCACTTCATTTCTACTTCTTGCAGCGAATACGGTTCTGAACGCGTGCATCGAAGTGTATTTATAAATTGTCTTGACCGTGTTTTACTTTCGGATTTTGAGATTATATGCTAATTATTTTATGAATTCTTGGTGCCCAATTCTCTTAGCGTCTCCTGAGTTAATTAATTAAGACAGTAAAGCGTCGCAACATGAATAGTGCGATGGCCGCTCCTAGATATTCATTATAATCATTTGTTTATTATAATCATAAGAATGTTACAGAAAACGACGAAATAACCAATTATGGTCTTTACTATTGTGACCTGTACGACCTGGTAACACAAAAATGAGAAAAAAAATAAATAAATTTGAGATGTATTTCTCTAAATTACCATGTCATAAGACTTTGTACACTACAAAATTAACTGAATAGTTCAGCCAAAAACGTAAAAAAACTACAGAAAAGAACTACCACTCATCCGATGAAAACAAGATGAACAAATTCTCTCTATGAGACACTATTGTCTTTTGAATGATTATCTTCGATGAACTTTGTGACAAAGTTGTGACTGTATAAGACGAAAATGTTGGAAAAACAAATGTATTTTCTTTCAACTTTTTCATGATCCTTCTTTCTTCATATCCGGTACGATCGATTGCCGTCATTTGTTCCCACAATCTAATTCCCCCGTTTAACACAATGTGCATACAAATGTTGATTTCTTAGCACCTCGTTTTTACCATCGTCTCACAGGACCTCTATCTCCTGTTTTCTGTAACCACAAGTAATTGAACGTTTCATATGACGGCATTAATAACAAAATATACCTGAAACTGCTTTCAGATCTAAAAATAGATAGAATTGTGGTATTTTTGCTAAAAGATACCAGAAAAAAGGAAATTTCGCTCAAAAAGAAGAGAAGCCTTGGATTAAAGAGGAGAAAAGGAGCATTCCGATGCCAGACTGTGAATCAAGAGGATTTTTCTTCCTTTCTTTCATAATTTTGACTGGGTCTCGAGTGATTATCTATTATAAGAAAAAGGACTGAATAAATGTGATTGATTTCCATGCTTTATTATGCCTGTACAAGGCTGAGATGGATATTGTGAATCAAAGCATGCCTAGTGGCGGACCCAGGGAGGAGCTGGAGGTAGCTGAGCTTCCTCTAGAAAATTTCATGGTATATTCGAGTGAGTGAAATTTTGAAAAAAATCTCGTACTGCTACAGATACTTTGGGCAATGGATGCGGAGCTGAGCTCCCTCTAGGCCGAAATCCTGCCTCCGCCACTAAGCATGCCTGCACTGCAGAAGTGGATTGCTCTTGATAACTTCAAAATTTAATAAACATTTCCCTCCTTTTAACATGGAAAATGTGGGATAAACTAACAGCAGATATATAATCTGCTGAAAATTCGGTTATAAAAAATCAGTGGTTTATAACCTGAAATGGTTCTGTAAGTATTTTAGGACTGAGACGAAAACAGATTCGTACCTTGCGCACCAGGCAAAAACCTTTAATGTCCCCCAGGTCAGAAACCGATCTCAGCTCAGGTAGGTCGAATCTGGACCAAACTTCCAGGGAATGTTGACCATGTCAAAGTGTGATAACGAAATTTTTTTTTGGCGTCACTTGCAACTGTTCGTGAGAGAGTGCCACAACAACGGCCAAAAATAGGCGTCTACCACGCACAGGAATTCTCATTCCAGATAAATGATAGAGAACTCGCTGGTTTTATTTTGCAGTAAACACCTGTGCTTAGGAGTTGACAGAGCCCGATTTTTGAATTTTTCATTTACTGATTTCTGGTACTTAATAGAATTTTAAAGTCCGAAAAATCCTTGGACGGTTTCTTAGAAATCCTCATTTCTATAAAAAATAGAAGCATAGTTTAAAAATCGGATTCTGTCAAGTCCTACCTATAGGTGTTATCTACAAATTAAAAAAAAATTTCTTTCTCCGATGTATCGTTATCACGAATTCCTGTGCGTGGCGAAAGCCCTGAAGCTAAAAAACAGTGTTAAGAAAAACGCAAAATAAGTTTTGATTTCGTTAATTGCTTTTTACTTAACAACTAAATGAGCGCTAAACATTTTTTTGATATTTTGCTAGAGGTTATCGGCCATGGCGGATCTAATGAATATGTGTGCGGCCATGTGCGGTACATACGTACGCTTAAGCAATACCAGTGCAAAAAAGCCATTTTTTTGCATTTTATGGGCTTAAGGCAAAAAACGAGTTTTCAGCGCACGTTTTTTACCTTTCTAAATGGACACTTCTCAAATTTATTTTGTAACGGTATTAAAGTTGAAAAATATAAGGTAAGACGTGACCAGTATTGCTTCAAACTAAGTGTTTTTCGTCCTTTTTCCTCATCTGTTTTCATTTCATTCTCTTTACGTTGTTGCTTGAAAACTCATGAACAAGCATGGTGTGATCTAAAAGAGTATCACTGCCTACATTTTTGCCTTTTAAGTTTTAGATTTCAAAAATGGAAAAAGAATCTTCATTTCTGGGCTTACTTTTTTCGAGTTTTCTGGACAGCTTTCTGCTTCTGATTGGTAAAAGGTTCGAAAAACGGAATAATCATTCATTTCACTTTTTTGTATTGCTCGTGTGCTCGATTGTATTGTAACTGTTTTCTCTTATCGACCGATACCTCCATGCGTCATCAAAAGTTCTTTTTTGTAGACATCCCTTTCCCAAAAAATGACGACGTAACCATCCGAATGTTGCTTGACAGTAGACGCTATTTGTCCATGGAATAATCGATCAATTATCGATGGCTGTTGTGCTTCAGCCTCCAATGTATTTAAAAGAAGAATCATAAATTCATGCGAGTCTTTCTGTCGATTATCAGCAAATGTGACAGCTTGTTTACTGATAGCTTTTTTCAATCGTTTTGGTGTTAGGGACGATTTGTCTCCTGACCATATTTGTTTCACTAATTGAGTGTATACATCAGTAACAGAACGATTATCCTTATCACCATCATCATTCGGAGATGATAAATTCAAGTAATAATCTGTTAATGCTGGTATATTACTAAGACATTGTAATGCACTGTTCATATAACAGGTATTACCACTGTTAGTTAACCCACATAAACCAGGCGGATAACGCTGACGAGGAGAAGGAGAATGATCACTCTTCTTCCCATTTTCTGTATGCGTTATTTTATTGATTTCGTTATTATTCTTGATATCTGTATCACTATAATCAATACTAATCCATGTACTATCCTTAAAATGTAATTCTTGTAATGTACAATCATCTAAACTATTATCATATTCTGTCCATTTCTTATTATCATCATATACAAATAAAGTTGTTTTCATTTCATCAATAGAATATAATTGTAATTTATCAATTGATTTTTGCTTTAAATATTTAATTGTTGATGATAATGGTAAATCAAATAAACATGAAAAATGTTTTTTTGAAAACGCTTTTTCACACAGCCTCAATGTTATTGTATATTTTATTTCAAGAATAGTTTTGTAATCATTGTGCAAAGATGATAGAGAGTTCGCTGATGAAATTTTTTCAAAGCTAATACAATCCCAGTCATTTATATTTAAAGCGAGTAATTCTCGATGTGGATTACTATCATCCACAGGAACCCATTTGTCAGTAATATCATCAAAGACAGCTAAAGATATATCGGTCGGTGTCAAATCGTGCAATAACAAATCGTTAATAATTAATCTTTTTAATTTTACAAGTGTATCAGTATATTGAGTTGCAATGACAGAATAATCAGTCATTTTCCGACCGTTTCTACATATTTTTAAATCTATATTATATGGAGTTGATAAAGACTTTTGATGTGTTGGTATTGAAGTAGCAGATCGTCGGTATTCATGATCACCAGGCAACAATAGTCGAGGCATTGGACGAGTGCGACTATCAAACATGGCACTAGTCTGGTGTAAACTAGCGATCGGAACTATAAAAGAAATATCTGACAAAACTTTGTCACGCTCTGCTCGATAAGAACCATAATTTAGGAAAAAGTAAACTGGACTCCACAGTCAACAAAAGTATCGCTGGTTGAACTATGGACCAGCGTTTTTTTCGCCTTTTTGTCCATTTTTTAATATTTAAATAAAACTTTTACTTTTCAGTTTGAAACCACGGCTTTGTAACCAGTCGATAGAGCGCATCGAGACGTATACGTGAAAAGATTGTCACCGTTCCGAGAAAATGTTTGGCGGAAAAATTCGGATTTAACCTTGAGAATGGGTTTTGGGGGCCAAAAGTGCACATTTTCGAGATCTGGCGTGCAGTTTCTCTTTTCTACTCTCTCTCATCTCAGGAGGAAGCATTTTACAGCGCACATGTGAGTGTAAAAGTTGTTTATCATGGTTTTTTCTGTGGGATAATACTCTGACATCGCTAAATTTTTAAGGTCAATCTTTAAAATTGAAAATACTCAAGCGCTGTACTGCGTACAAAAGGCGCTCAAATTTTTACGGAGCCAGAGGATAGTGTTCAGAAAATCTTCGACTCATAGAACATAGACACTTTACATGCGGAATCGAATGAAAGTGTCAAAAATTGAAAAAAAGAAAGATCTTCTGGTCGGTTTTCCAGAGGCTCAGAGCGCAAAACCGTTCAGGATCTTGAACCAAATTTTGCTCGAAGAAAGCATTTTCAAGGAAAAGTGTCGGTATTCAGAATCGAATTGGGGAGTCACTCACGAAAGCTTTTTTGAAAAACGTGTTTTAGAGTTCAGAAATTGAATTTCTAGAGAATATAGAGGTAGCAGGATTCTAGCCTACCTATTCGGGGAGGGTACAGGTTCAGATATTTGTCATAGACTATATTCTATGACATCAAGAACGCTCTAGTAATAGATGACTTCGTCATCCATTAGACAGTAAGGCGATACCTCCTAAATCCTAATCGAAATATATATCCCCATCAGGATATAGCGAAAAATTAATATCCGGATCGGGAAATAAGACACAAAATTTCGTAGGAAAAACGATTAAGAGAAAAACGATGACGATATGGGAAAAAATTGACCTTACCATTAGAAAGAGCCCAAAAAACTACATCGGATTCTGTTGCGTTTGATTAAAAGTGTGTCAGGCACCCGGCAACTATTTTTTCAAACAAAAAGTTTTAACAAATTTTAGTCGAATTTATATCCCGATCGGAAAATAGAAGGCTAACCTTGTATTGCTTGGAGGGGATATACTTGATATAATTGCTTTCCACACCGACCATATTTTTTCATTTCTTCCTTTTCGATACACACACCTACTGAAACACACGTTTCTTTTCTGATGCGTAGACAATATATGTATAAGTATACGTGGTTTGTGTTTAACGGGGAATTTTCCATCTATTCATTCGTGCAGATAAACTGCCGTATATTTTTTATAAGTGAATCACAACTTGCTGTATCTTTTGGAATGTATAATACTCGTGAAACCAACATTTTGGAAGATGCCAAAAGAACATCATCATTCCAGCTATTGTGGCATTTATACTCATATTGTCTGGCACGGTAACACCTCTATCAAACTAATTAGATCTGATGAAAATCATATTGAAGTGAAAGTAAATATTTTGATGTTCTGATCGGGATATAGATTTTACTAATATTCCAATTGGGATACCGAATTATATGCCAACTGGAGTATGTCTCCATGCTGTCAGAAAGGGATCTGTGGCTATTTTTATTAGAGGCGAACCTAATTTTCTATATAAGCTATAACTTGTCTTGTCATTCTCTCTTCGAACAACCTTTGTGGCTGAATACTATAACAAAGACGACCTTGAATCATCACGTAGTTAACGGTATATTATTGTTAAAAGATTTCTGAACCAGTAAAGTATGTGTTTATTGTTTTTTGAATAAAACTCTAGCTAGGAGAAAGGGTTTCGATCGCTGAACGAATGATCCGTATTTCACTACTACTTCTATATGTGTAAATATAAGGTAGGATGTTAGGTGCAGACTATCAGAAGTTCATAGGGTATGGGGGGGCATTTGTGAAGGCATATAGGGTAAGGTAGAATGAAGCACGAGAAATTTTTATAGTATCAGGTACGGGATACAAAAAACTCTTGTTTAGTACACCTCTAGTTAAATAGAGCTGTGTTTTCTCTTATTTCTCGAAAACCAAGACGTAACTTTTGGGTCGCTTCGAACACAAAGGCAGTAACAAAATTCAAAGTTTCGGCAATGGCAGTAAAGAAAATACATCCAGTATCCCACGATTTCTATAATAATCTGTGAAAATCTACGAATCAGTCATCAGGTTCATAGTAAAAATACTCTAGAAAAGCTGTCAGTCGGTTCTGCTTCTGTTGTTTGGATCTTTCAGAGTTTGTCCGATTGTGATATAAAAAGTATTCTTAAACCTAAAAAATTAAATAAAGGACTTTTGACAAGGAAAAATCTGTACGGGTTCAGAAACGGACGAACCATCTACTTTTCTCACATCACCCTTTTCAATCCTTCAGGCAACTTGATTTGAAACGGAAGCAGCGATTATTACAAGCGGCATGAAGAGGTAAACTTAGAGAAAAATAAAGAATTTTGTCTGAATATTTCAAAGTATTGCGCTGCTTCATGTCCGTCCATAACTGTATCAAACGTCAGCCGAATTCACTTTTGCACCTTGCTTTTCCGCACTTTTTAAATATTTTCTCAGATTACCATTGAGCGCATTGATAAGAAAAAACTCTCGGACATAGTTGCTAGTGTAGTCGTCTTAAAAGATGTATTAGCGTTTCTAAATAAGGTGTAGAAACTATCTATCTTAGTTAAGCCGGCAGATTTTATCTCGAAATTTAGGAAAGAAAAGAGGAGGTGCTTAACATATTTTCTCTATCCTTTGTCTGTCATATTTATTAGGTAAATTTTAAAACAAGTTTTTTTAAATATTTATCGTAACCAATTCAGACCTGTATGTGTACTCATGTAATGTTGTGGATTGTATCGCATCGACATTTTACTAAACAGAAAAGAGCAAAAATGTGATTGAATTATTTTTGAAAAACATTTGAAAATAATCAAAATTTCACAATATTTAAGGATACATTCAATTTTTATGTTTCATTTCTAAGGTTAAAATTCCCTCAGTCAGATGAAATGAATAAAAAGATCTGAGGTAAGTAATTATCGATTAGTTTCTAATAGAAAAAAAAGATCGTGTAAAAATAATAATTGCGTTCGAATGTTCAGTGTCGGCTAACATTCTCTTCCAAAAAGAACAGAAATTCTAAATTAATGACAATGTACGAAATAACGACGAATGAAATATTTTTTCATATCTTTGAAATCGTTCATCTAGAATACTTCATCTTACGTCGCAGGGAAGATACCGAAAATCAGGTGTTGGGAAAGCGATAAACGAAATCTCACATCACCCGAAAGTTGTTTTGCAAAAAACACTGATTTTTATCTTATGTAATATTTCAAATTCTTTTTAAACTTTAGCACACATAGAAAAGACATAGTAGCCGTAACTTCATCTATTTGTACCCTGGTGTAATCTATAATTGCTTCACAGTTCTAAACAGATTATGACAAACAGCAAATCGTTTGAAAATCATTTCATATAATAGCAGAATTGTTCTGCGATTAAAATTTTCTAAGATTCATGACGATTAATGACAGGTTAGTCGTCTGTATTATTACAGATCGGACAAATCAGACAAAGAGGAGTATAGGTTAAAATATCATCGTTGACGTCCCTAATTGATCATCTATTTATGAATAAAAGACGTACTTCCTTGCCACTGATGCCAATCGGCCACAAGTTAGAAATATTTCTTGAGTTTTTTCTATACTAACTTAAAATTTGCTTATTCTGCAAAAGCTTATTTTTAAATCATGAGACGATATTTGGGAACATAATATAAAAAATTATTATGATACAGCGGTCGCTCCACTAATAAAAATTCTTGCATCCAAGAAATGGCAGTATCTTGAGGGCATGAATGTCTCAAGGTCCTGCTATTTCTTGCCCAAAGCAAATTTTTCTTGCAGGCAAGACATGTTCTCTAGATTCAGGAAATCTCGGTTTTATCATGTTTTTCTCGATTTTTTCTTCGAGATTATGTTGATCACTCTGAATGTATAAAAATTTTTACATTAAGTGCACAGCACGTTTTGCTCACAATTGTTCCTCAATTATGTGAATCTTTCCTAATTACTTTCGTCACACTGCTGAGCTATCTTCAGTGTGACTGATTGGACAGCTGTTTGAAATAAATTTTGAATCCTTGTATTTACTCACATAATTTATTGTTATTACACGACGTTTCGGAGAACCACAGTACTGCTCCTTTACGACTTTGGCACTCCTAAACATTATTAATAACAATAAATTATGTGAGTAAAAAGTTTTTACTCACATAATTTATTGTTATTAATGATTATTCATGAAAAATTTCTTTTGGAGCTGGATTTGGAAATGGTCGAACTTGCCCACCTCTGATCTGCGAGTGTCAGAAAGATAAATTCTTCGTAGTTTTCGTTCATTAAAAAGTTGAACTATCCTTCGTTACTCACGACTTCACGACAAGAATCAAAATCAACCTCCTTCATCATGTTACCTTGTCAGTAAAAC